ACTCGGCGAAGGCTGGCGGCAAACACATCAGTTACCCATTCCGCTGTAGCTTCCAGATACGTTCTGTATCTGGAGGATCATCTTCATTGGGCATGTTTTACTGGATTTCTGTTCCTAAAAAAAAATTACTCCGCTAGGCGTGAGACAGATTTGAACATTAACTTGTATGTACCAGCCAGACTTGACACTTTTCTCCATGTATATACACGTGCTTGGCTATCTGCAGGGATTCCTTCATCAAAACTTGATGGTCTGATTGCTACTGGAAAATAGATGCTCGCGAGAATCAATCAGTTTCATCACCCGTCGCAAACTCTCCAGCCTTGATCTTGTCGCTGAGAGCCTTGTTCTCCCTGATGTAAGCAGTAAGATCGGTCCGCTTCTCGAGAAGAAGGTCTGCAACAAGGCGACCGAAGACAACCTCTCCAGCAGCGTTTAGATGCGTAGAGTCGCCCGAAGCAAGATCGTACTTGTGTCCGTTCTCGTTTCCGATGGCGTTGATGTAGTTGGTGCTGGCAGTGTTGAGGTCGAGGTACGTGGCGCCCACGGCTTCCGCGGCGGCGATGGCTCTAAGGCGCTCAGTTTCCAAGTTCTGAATGACCTTACCGCCGCTGAAGGTGCGGCGTGTAAGTGACGTGATCAAAATCTGCGTTGAATCTTAATATGTTTGTTGGATGCATTCCTATTACTTTTTTACTCACAGGAGTTCCGCCTGCAGCCGTGACCTCGTTGGCTAGCTTCTCCAAATTCGCTTGGAATTGGTCGGCAGTGATGTTTGCCGCTGCCTTCTGGTCATTGTGACCGAACTGAATCGTGACAATCGGGCTGAACGCATCTTTGTTCGCCTCGACCTCGCCAATGACGGTGTCCCAGATGCCCTGAGCCCGGAACGACACAGTCGTCGCTCCACTCTTGCCGTAGTTCTTTCCATCGGCCGGGGACTCGACAAATGAGAGGAAGCCGTTTCCCCAACCTCCGCCGATGGCAACAGTCGAATCGCCCGTCAGGAGAAAGTAGGGCGGCTTGGCATCGCGGATCTGAGGTGCGCTGAATGGACTGAACGGAACAGCGGAAACTGTCGTGAACACCGTGGCGACAACAGAAAGAGCTTGACTGACTCTCATTTTGCAGCTTCTGGGGCTTGGACTGGAACGACTGGGAATTTTGCTAGGAAACGCTAAATAACATCAAAAGACACGAGTATGATCGCAATGACTGGCACTGTCTACGCAACTAGGCTAACAAGCTTGATATAAAGCCATGGAAAGTGAGTCTTTAATCTATCTTCCTCTCTTACAAACCGTCAAAGTCGCATCGTCGCATCTCGGCGGAGACTGAGCCGAAAGAAGCGATGACACCAAGCAGGGCGCCAATGCCGCGATGTCCCCACGCCAATCCCACCAATAACTCTCGGTTTTGTATATTGACGTCTCGCGCACCTCCTGGAATAGTCAAGGTTTAACTCAGGGCGCGGCACAATTGCTGCGGAGTGAGATCTTGCTTCCGCTGATCGTATGGCGAATATGGATGACCTCGGGCAACGGGAAGCTTGGCATGCAACAGTGCGGGGGAGTCCACGCCTGTCACTCGGGCTGCTCCGTGGCATCATTCGGCCGACATGCGCGTTCCACGTGCAAAGTCTTACTTACTTAAGTGCCGGGCGATATTTTTGATATATCTCGTCGCGACGCCATACACGACTCGCACATGAAGGTGTGGTCCCTAGAGAGTAGTAGACCCCGATGTTGATGACAATTGATAACTCTTGGCAACCACGCATCTTAAGCCTAAAGGCTTTATTGAGGTTGTTGTTGATGTTTAGCATTGACGTCATGCGCACTAGAATGGGAACAGCGTCCTTCGTCAAATTCTATATCAACTCTACCGAAGCAGTCAACTTGGCGCATTATTCCAGCCTCAGCATGCTTCGTGCTCCTGTCGAGGGCCCCTGGAATCAGGCCTCACCCTTGCTTGCTATTATTCAAAGAGGTGAAATGCTAATTCGGCCAAACTATTATCGGACAAGAATTGGCTATCAGGAATGGATGTTCGCATATGCACACACAACGTCTAGCCTCATAGGGGTTGTTGAGATGTCTCACCTGCACGATGCCCGTTCAGGCAAGCAATGACGTGGTGCAAGATTTCCTCGAGAGTAAAACTTGAAATGTTGAGTTGCAATAGACTCTGTAGAAGAACGCATCTTAATAAACCTCAAAATCGGACCACTGCACTTTCTGATGCAGTGTTGGAAAATAGGCAAACGATTATCTGCAGACCCATTCCCGTCTTACTTGCCCGAGTGAGATCATCTTCAAAGCTTCACTTGAATCCACGTTAGAATCCTCAGAGCTTCGGTAATGGCATCTTTTCACTTATTCTCAAAGCTCCCATTCGAACTACGCATTCACATATGGCACCTTGCGAAAGAGCCGCGGACTTTGGTCGTCCGCACCTGTGATGAACCCGCGAAATATCGCCGTCAACCGCTCGAATCCACCTTGATTTATTGCCGTTCACCAAATACTGTTCCCGCAATTCTGCAGACTTGTCGAGAAGCGCGCAACATCGGTCTATATGCCAAAGCATTCTCTGGTGGTCTGAACCCGCGATATGTCTGGACTGATTTCGATCTTGATACGATACAAGCCTCGTTTTGGGATCTGAAACTGATGGGAAGCGACAAGAGCCTGTTTCAGCACTTGGTTGTGGAAGTGAACGATTTGGAGTCCTTTAGGCGTCACTACAGCGATGCCCTTGCTGGCCTCGCAGATCTCGACACATTCCGAATACTTTCGAAAAGGGGACTAGAAGACTGGAGTATTGCGATGGATGAGGTTCCAGGAGCAGACACAACCTCGTCTATACAACGGGCATTGACAATTCCTTCAACTGTGCTACAAGGCCACCTTTAGAAGGAACTGCTCAACCACAGTCAGAAACAACGCATGCTTCCGATCTCATCTGGATTGATGATACTATCCCCTAATTGAAGTCGACTATGAGTGGTGGTGCTCCTCCTTCTCTCCTTCTGGCGGAAAAGGCGGCTCGGCTCCCTCAACACTGGGATCCCAAGATGGATTGGGACCGGCATCGCGCCACCGCACCGACCGTGGGCCGTGCTTATTCCAGTCCAGAATGGCATCGAAGTCTCTGCAAGTGTGCATCGAAGACCAGTTGGGTAGAGCATCTCGTCGTTTCGGGTTATTTAGGGGATCAACGAACAATGAGGGCGTTACATCTCCTTGGCATTGCAAATTCATCCTCAGCATGTCGATGCAGTGGTCTGTATCGTCAGATTCGGTCGCGCGCGTTGGCTTCCGGGAAATATCAGACTCACCAAAGTGGCTGTAGATATTTTCATCAGGGACACCTTCGTCCAAGAATTGGTAGTGCTCGTAATTATAGAAAAGCCCCATTCTTAAAGAGTTCTAAAATACCTGAGCATCAGCACCGCATAATGACTTATGGAAGATAGGCGAATGGCCTACCAAGCAGTGGAGCAGATGGAAGACTTCAAGCATTGCCAAGTAACCGCCTCCATGCTCATCGGGCACTTTGTGGAATGGCATTTCTGGTGAGTCGGTCATGTTGAGCAATTTCAGTTCCTCAGCTGTGACACGGATGCCACCAGCCCCAAGTTCAATCTCGTGCCATGCGATATCGACATCGTTCGAGTGCGTCCCGGGTGGACCGCGCCATTTGTTGGTCTGCCTGAACTCAGCGTTATAATGCTCCGGTGCTTTGTATTTGACCGCCTCAAATGCCGGCGCTTCATTGATACTCAATCAGTCAGAGCTCGAGGGAAGGGGAGGAAAATAGACTTATCGGGGAGTACTCACAAATTGTCGACAGGCTTTCAGTGCACTTTTGTAGGAAGTCGGTCCGAGACTGAATTGGAGAGAGGTTGTAAACTAGAACAGCAAGTGTGACCAGGTTGGTCAAGCCAAGCCAAACTGTTGATCGGGGCCAGCGATGTGTGAACCAAGGCGCTGAAGTTGATGTTCCTCCTGCCTTGCCCTCTGATTGTGGCAGACTTTCATACGAAGATTTCAGTTTCCACCACATCTCTGCAAATGATACCAAAGTTTGGGAAACAGGTAATGTTCTGTAGATGATGTTGGCGACAACGAGAAGGGCTTAGACATAACGTAAAACAGCAGTCACCAGCGCACTTACCACCGCGTTCGAAAACCTGCCCAACTCCCACGCAGCCATCAGCAATCTAAGTGGCAATAGGCTTGCACTATTACGCCCTGAATGGGCCGATGACACTCTCGCCAGCCTGCTTCTGCACAGTGCAATCCTTCAAGTTTCGAGCTTCTTATTCAGGCCTAGTTTCCGCATAGGAGTCGCTTTAAAAATCCCAGGTCATCATATTGTGGACCACGTCGACATAAGCTTTGCGGCCAAGCCCGTCCACTTAGAGCGGCGGGATGGGTTGCATATCTAGAAATCGGGCATACCTAATCGTGGAAGTCCGAGTGTGCGTGACAATTAGAAGCGCAACCCCGCCACCGTGGGATCGGATCCCTGGCCCAAGGCCTACCCGCTTACTTGGATTTCTCTCTCTTTGAATGGCTAGATTTGCGAAGAAAAGGTTCGGGAGCTACCAGGCAACCGTCAACCCCAAGGCAATTCGTCTTAGTTGCAGGTGTCTAGTCTTGAGAGGACGGCCTTGATAGGTCATAACTTACCCATCACCCTCCGTCTCTATCTACCTTCCCTTCTAGGACTTACGAACCCGCATGTTTGGCCAGAAGATAGATGAGGAGCGCTAGAAGGGTACCGGAGAATCAAGAGCTGCAGGATCGGATAAGACGCAATGGGTTCAAGCCTTTCGTCATCCCAGAAGGGGGTTACATTTCTCCCACCGTATCGCAAGTCTAAATTTCTGGGTAGTATTTAACGTACTTGAACTTCGTCGAGGACTTTCTTGAACATTTTTGCTAATCGTCCATCTCCCAAACTATCGCAATCGTTCCAAATCCTCTTCCATCATGCAGCTGTCCATCATCACCGTCCTCGCCCTCCAGGCTATCGGCGCCGTCGCCGCTCCTGTCGCCGCCCCGGCTGTCGACTACGCCGACCTCGCCAAGGACTCGATTTACATTAAATCCGTCAACACGTACAAGCGCGGAGAGGAAGAGAAGCGCGAAGCCAGCTACGCCGACGCCGCTAAGGCCAACATCATCATCAAGTCTGCTGGTACCTACAAGAGAGACGAGGAGAAGCGTGCCCCTGAGGCCGACTACGCCGACCTTGCCAAGGACTCCATCTACATCAAGTCCGTCAGCACTTACAAGCGTGGCGAAGAGGAGAAGCGTGAGCCTAGCTACGCTGATGCCGCAAAGGCCAACATTATTATCAAGTCTGCTGGAACTTACAAGAGGGATGAGGAGAAGAGGGAGCCCAGCTACGCCGACGCGGCGAAGGCCAACATCATTATCAAGTCGGCCGGAACCTACAAGAGGGACGAGGAGAAGCGTGAGGCAGGATACGAGCAGCTTGCCAAGGACTCCATCAAGATCAAGGCCGTCAACACCTACTAGACTGGCGAGGAGATGCTTGGCGAAGAGTAAGCGAGGTCAGCCAGGGACACTACGAGTTTTGAGTTCTCTGATATCTGCTAGCAACACCTCGACATGAGGGTCGCCAACTCTGCTATGCGGTATCGCGGGGACAAGAAAGGCAAAACTTAAAGCGAAATGTTTCCTTCATGGCTAAATAGCCGGCTACGTGCGATGAAAGACTGGACCAGGTCTAGGGCTTACGAGTTACGCATCACTTGACTTTACCACGCTCGTTAATGTATACCATTGATATCAATTGCCCATGCTCTAGATGTACACGTGTGCACTTCGTCATCCTCGTCGCTCCAATATAAGCACAGAGCTCGGGAGTGATACGTCGTTGGAATTAAGTTACCAAAGTCCCTAGGATCTCCTTCCAACAACCTTCCCGTCCTCGATTCCACGCCCCTACTGCGGAAAGAGAGGCAATTCTTTGACCGGCCATTCGTACTTGCGCTCATATTCAGTCTGAAATGTCCATTCACCAGACCCAACCATCTCCACCCTCTTGCCATCCTTGGTCGGCAAAACTACTTCCATCTCAGTGAGAGGTGGCACCACCACGTCGACCCTGAGTCGCAGACGCCCTTCTCCCTCGTCAGCCAACTTCCATGCGCAAGCAACCTTTCCATATGGCGTGACATGCTCGGCAGAAGCATTCGAAAACTCTGCACCCAGGATCGGCTCCGCTCTCGATCGCTTCCATCCAGGCTCCAGGCGTTGCAAGCCTGCAAGTCGTTCGACAAGGAACTTGGCAACCGCTCCAAAGGCGTAGTGATTGAAAGAGGTCATGTCGCCAGGGTTGATGGTGCCATCGGGCAACATACTATCCCAGCGCTCCCAAACCGTAGTTGCTCCCATGGTGACGGGGTACAGCCAGGAAGGACACTTGCGATTAAGGAGCATCGCATAGGCTACATCGCTATGACCAGTCCGAGTAAGAGCTTCGCAGATGTACGGTGTCCCAGCGAACCCGGTGCCGATCCTGAATCCGTTTCGGCGGACAATCTCTGCGAGCCGACTCCCTGCTCTGGCTGCCTGATTTTCCAAAATGAGATTGAAGCAGATAGCGAGGGCGTATGCCGTCTGCGAGTCTGACGTGAGACGTCCGTTGCTGCTGACGTACTCGTCCTGAAACTCCCGACGGGCGGCATCGGCTTCGTTCTGATAGCGTTCGGCGTCTTGAGGTTGTGACAAGAGCGCGGCAATCTTGGTGATGAGGTCAAGAGACCTGACGAGAAAGGCGTTGGCGACCAGAGGCGGATCGGTCACGGCCTTCATTGGCTCATCGGGAGGGGCGTTGGGGTCAAGCCAGTCCTAGAAATGTCAGTAAAAACATTCGCCCTCAGTACGTTCTCTTTAACCTACACCAAGCTGGAACAGGCCGAAATCCCATAAATGGGTAGAACCGGTCTTGTTCCGGGGAATCACATCTATCCAAGTCTTCATGGACTCGTATTGATCTCTCAAGATACCAAGATCGGCAGACTCTTCGTAAAGTGCCCACGGGGCAAGTATCACGACATCATGCCAAATCGCGTTGGCGCCAATCTTGCTCCAATTCTTCTGCCCGATGAGCACGTTCGGGCACACCATTGGAGGGACGCCGTCCAGAGCCTTTTGATCATGGGCAACATCGGCCAGCCAGTTCTTCAGAATGCCAAAGCAGTTGTAGATGAAGGTCGCAGTGGGCGCGAACAACGCCAAATCGCCCGTCCACCCCAGGCGCTCATCTCTTTGGGGGCAATCAGTCGGCACGGACAGGAAATTGCCGCGCATCGACCACCGGACGTTGCTGTAGAGCTTGTTCAAGTCGTTGTCGGAGCACGAAAAGTGACCGACCTCTTCCATATCCGTGTGACACACGCAGGCCTCAATCGCGTCTTTGAGATCTGGGGCGGTGGAAGGCCAGCCCTCGACTTGGACGTAACGGAAGCCGTGGAAGCTGAAGCGCGGCTCCCATGTTTCGCCGCTATCGTCGCCTTTGAGAGTATAGACATCCTCGGCCTTGCAGTCTCGCAAAGGTCTGGTCCCTAATTCCTCTTTCTCTAGGACTTCCGCGTGCAGTAGAGTGATTATGCTCCCTCGTTGACCTTTGACGTTGTTGATACGGATGAATCCGACCAGGTTCTGGCCGAAGTCCAAGATTGACTTGCCCGAAGGGGTCGTGATCAATTCCAATGGCTTCACATATTCAAGTCTCTTGACCGGTTCTCCGTAGCCGCAGATGAGGTCTGTCGTTTCCGGGAGCTGGGGAAGCACTTGGACGGTTTCCCATATCCCGGCAGGCGAATCACTGCGTGACCAACCCGAAATTTCCGCAGTAGCATCGTACTTTTCGCCGTCGTATATCTCTGCGAGCTTGACGGGCCCTCGGGTAGTCGTCCAGCTAACGTCGGTAACTACGATCTCAATGGAGCCATCCTCATAGGTGATCTCAAGCTGTGCAAGAGCCGCAGTGCGGGTGCCCCAAATACTTCGTTTGCCACCCTCGAAGCCAATACGACCATTAAACCATCCTTCGGCTAAGCGTACACCGATGCAATTCGACGCATTCGATGCAATGTGTGCCGTGACATCGTAAGTCTGGTACTGTAGCCTCCCGTCGTATGCCGTCCAACCAGGGGCCAAGAAGTAATCGCCAACTCTCTGGCCGTTGATCTCGGCTTCGTAGACACCCTGGGCCGTAGCGTAAAGCCGTGCAGAGCGCACTTTGCTCTTCGCTTCAAAGACTTTTCGGAACAAGTCCTCCGGTTGTGGGCTGTTCTTGCTATCTTCCGCCCACGGTGCTGAGATCAGATTGCCAGTCCAGTCGCTGCGGACTAAAAGACCAGTCTCAAAAGAGAATGGTTCGCTCCATGGCGAGAAGTCAGTTGCGTTTTCGTCCTTGGCTCTGATCTCTATCGAGTACGTTTGTCGTGACTGTATAACGATGTCTTCGGGCCATTCGGCTGACGATGAGCTGATCCCGTGGCTATCGGACGGGGCACTTATGACCGAATGAGAGCCATCAGGCTTCTGTATCTTGACTTCCCAACTGCCAAGGTTGAATTTCGAGGAGGCGTCACTGAAGCGCCAAGAGATCTGAGGACGTTCCACGTGAATACCGAGTGTGTATGGCTGTCGATAATGATCGACGCGTACGTCAACCACGCGAAGTCCTGCCATTGGAGTATGTCTGCGTCTCAGACTCGGTTCATAAAGCTGTAGATGTGATTGGAGGCTAGGAGTGAGTTAAGTTGCTTGGCTATAGAGAGAAGAGTCTTGAGAATTTGTTCTAAGTGATGTCTTGCGATCGACCGCAGGTGCCACGGCACCATATTTCAACCACTCGAATAGAAGTCATCGGTGTGATGATGTGACGAACGGACAAGCAGAGACCGACGAGTTGTCTGAGGTTTGTCTGGTGATGAGGTGTGGATGGCCGCTTTTCTGGAGCTTGATCCTGGGCAGAAGAGGGGCGCTCCGCACTATTGTGAGAATCACCAATCAGATATCCTCTCTACTCCGAAGTAAAGCCTCCAAAGTCCAAAATGGGATCTTTGAGACTTGAAGAATCGCCGGTGTTTTGCCAGCCCCTCACGTTAGCCTTCCGTCGTGGCCGAGCTAAGATCCGGTGGCTTCGACACATCATCGTTGCATCTGACCTTCTAGTCGACTCGGATTATCAGTTTGTCATGAAGGAGTTGAGATATTAGTTTCATGGCATGACTTCGTCAAATGTACACGAAAGTTGCGTAAATGGACGTGTCTTGTGGAGGAGCAGGAGTCTTAGTGTCTTCTGAGTCGTGACTTTCGCTACAGCTTGTCAAGGCATTGTAGCTTATAGATAGTAGAATGCGGAGAACGCAAATGGCCGACATCGAATATGATGCCTGATGATTAGCTACTATATTACAATGAGAAACCGATGCTAGACTGTAGAGTTGTACAACAAAAGAAATTTTGGGTATACATGTGTGCGGCCAGGTTCGTCATTGACCTGACAAGAACGTCTTCCACCGCTCTATTACCTCGTTCCTCTCCGCTTCCGTTGACCTCCTGAAATCATCGATACCCTGTCGTAATCGAATAAGCAGTACCTCGGCTTTGAGCGCCGTAAGCCTGTGTTTTGAGAATTCCTTTTCTATGCCCTTTAAGGTGTATCCAGGGAGACCAAAAATAGCTGCGCGGCTGTTAGCGTCCCTTTCATCAGAGTAACGGTACCTCGTTGTAACGGTTGGGTGGGGAAAGGGTCCAGATCAACACGCGATAGACTTACCAGCAAAGAGATTGAACGTAAACCCGCGACCAGCCTGATAAATACCCTTCCCGAACCCCTTGACTCCCTCCCTCTTGGCCCCCTCGTACGGCTTCATGACAACACCGCTAAACGCCTCCCACGTTCCCAAAACAAATTCCTTGCCCGACGTCCGCAGACCGCTCCCGAGACCGGTAATCTGATCCCGCCGCCGCACCTCGTGTCCGATGAACCCGTAAGAAGGGTAGTTGTGAAACCCGTTGGCAACATTGTAGCACACTGCCACCGGCGCTTTGAGACCAGCCTTGACAAGCTCGATACCGTAACGCCCCGTCGCGCGCGCGATCTCCGTCGGCCTGTTCCGTTTCTTGACGAGAGTCGCCACGGAGGACTTGCGTCTACCGCGTTCGTCGACGTTGTTAGCGTCCATCATGGCGATTTCGACGGCCGGGTCGGCGCACTGGAGGGACTTGGTCGCCATCTTCATGGCGATGGCGTTCATCTGCTTCGGGGTCATGCTGTGCGCCTTTGCTACGCGCTTTAGATGGCCATCTTCCCCGTCCTCTGTCTTGCCCTCTTGGCCCGGCTGGACGTCTGGTTCCTCGCTAGGTTCTGCCGAGGGTTCGCGCGTCGTGTTGCTCTCCTCTTCAGGCTGCTTCTCATGCATAGGGCGCTGCGCTTCGAGGTCGACCGCGTGCATCCGGTTTTGGGCGGCTTGGGGCGGGTGCTTCAGCCGGTGTGAGTAATCCGACGTCGCCACGCCGATATTCGTGAAGAAGCCCGATACCGCGGCTACAAGGCCGATAAGAGGGTGTTCGGCGCCCTCGTCGACATACCAGTGCTTGTGCTTCAACAGCTTGAAGTCGTGGGGCTTCATGTACCCCTTATCGACGAGGCACCCGACCGCGAAGTTACTCAAGTGCGCGCCCGTCTTTCTGTGTCGCCAGTTGGCTAGTCTCTCTGGGCAAATATCGCATCGCATCGTGTCGAGAGCCAGTCGTTCCTGAATATCCCTCGCGGTGTCCCCCGCGCCGTCCTCTTCCGCGATCCGCTCAGCCATCTGCTGCACCGCCACCTGGACCTCGGGCTTGAGCGCAAAGGTGATGCTAGCAGCCAGTGTTTCGGCCGTCATCTCCTTGAAGGGCACGGGAGCCGGGCCAGCGCCGGCACGGGCGATCATCTGGCCCCAGAAAGGCTGATCTCCAAAGAAGGGGACCACGACAGTAGGGCGTCCGCATGCAATTCCTGCCGCGGACGTGCCGGCGCCGCCATGGTGCACTACAGCCGAGACGCGCTTGAAGAGCCAGTCGTGCGGGCAGTTGCCGATGAGATAGACGTTGTCCGGGACGTCGTCGCCGCCACCGACACCGCCCCAGCCCTTGGAGACGATAGCGCGGACCCCGGCCTGTTCGACGGCTTTGAAGATGAGTTGGGTGAGAGCTTTGGGGTCGTCGACGACGATGGAGCCGAAGCCGATGTAGATTGGTGGTGGGCCGGCCTCGAGGAAGGCGGTGAGGTCTGCGGGGGGCGTGTACTTGTCGGCGAGAGGGAGAAAGGAGAAGCTGGTGATGTTGATGTGGGAGTCCCAGTCGGCGGGTTTGGGGATAAGAGACTCGGACCAGAGAAAGGTGTATGGGACACGAAGTCTGGGGAGGAGTTGGCATCCCCACAAGGGACTTATATGATCAAGGCCTAGCGTCTGAGTGCGGAACTTATTGATCAAGTCGCCAAGTCTAGTTGCATGTCAGTAACGAGTGAAAGGCTTCACAGACTGAGTGAGAATAAGTGACTGACCCTTGCCACGTCAAGAGTTCCATCATGATAAACGACAAATAGTTGGCGGCGCTCGTGTCGGCCTCACCATAACTCATCGAGGCCAGCGGGTGATGAAACGCTTGTGTTGGGCACCACGGCATTGTGAAGACCATGTGAAGTGGGATACCGAGCTTCTCAGCGCAGTGGATGTGAGCCATCGATGGGGGGTTGGCGATAATCGCATCAGCGACGAAAAGATCATCCGCATTCAACACCGTAGCAGCCGTCGTTCGTTCGCCCATGCCATCTCCTGCCTCTATACAACTCCTCCACGCGCCGTTAATAATTTCGGCCATCTCTTTCCTGCGCTGCTTGATGTCTCCAGCCTTGACGCTCTCTCGGCTGGGAAGCAGTCCAGGGTTCTTGACCATATAAGCCATGAGCGCCTCCGGGTCGCCGCCAATGCTGAAAAACTCGACGCCATTGGACTCCACAAAGTTCTTGAAAACGGGGTGCGTGCAGATGCGGACTCGATGGCCGTAGGGCTCTTTCATGAGAAGCTGCGCAATGGGGATGAATGGCTGGACATCGCCGCGGGATCCGACAATATGTATCGCGATGTTGAGCCGCGGGCTCTTTGAGGGCGGGTGCTGCTGCAGATTCTGCAGGATGACGCTGCTGCGTCGCCGTAGCCGGGCCTGTTCGAATTCTTCATCGTAGTCGCCAGAGTGCGGTCTGAATGCTCCTTCAAAATCGCGAAGCCAGTGGGCAAGCTTTTGCGGATTCTCGTGAAATCTCACTCTGACGCGTCCATCGTTGCCGACGTTGCCGGATGTGGCCGTCTCTGAGCGACCGCCGTCCCCCAACGCAATGTGGCCCAGTCCCTTTGACTTTACGCGTGTGAGTGCTGCCATATTGGAGAAAGAGGAAAAAACGGCTTCAACTCAATGGAGCCCTCCCCAGACCAGACCCCAGTGAGCTGGGCTGGTTATGTGATGGATGGATCCAGTTCCCAAACGGAGTCGATGCTTTGATCAGTCCAGACCTTCTAATGCGACGTCCGATGAGATGAGAAACGAGCCCATGTAAGCATATATGAGTTTGTACGAGCTCTGAAGGCTTGAGATGAACTAGCAAATTCCATCTCTTGCCGCACTGCCGCTGACTCGGGGAACAATCACGTGTGTCATTCCCGCTCTCCGAGACTTCCCACCCACTCAGTGCCACCAGAACGGCAGAAATCCCCCATTTCCCGCTGCTTTCATCGGCGTTGTTTATCCCTAAAACGTCATAGAGGGGCTGTTCTTTTGCAGATTAGCGTCGAATGGAAATGAGGTTACCATGCAGATTTACGAATGGGACTTTAGGTTTACGCCGTTTGCAGTTAGCCCCCTTGGCTCGCCCTTTTTCTGTGGAACTCTGTTTTTCTCGTGCCGTGGTGGTCCTCTCGGTCTCGCCTTTCTGTCACATTTTCTCTCTTATCTGGCAGCTCTGGGCATCTCTGGCTGCCCGTTTAGGCCCCTTGGTGGTACTGTAGTCGCGCGTATAGTGGCTGGCCTGGTGGCCTGTTACGCGCATTCATCTGGTTCCATTGGGGGCGAGGCAGAATGGAACAAATGCCATTCGAGTTTCAGAGATCCCGGTTCCGTTCAATGTTCTTTCTGGGGTCCAAAGGAATTGCTATCATCCCCCCCATCCAGGGTCTCCATTCAGTGGACATCTTTGTCTCCGTCTTTCAGTCACAAAGCCTGTCGTATGCCTTGGCAACCGTGGTAACTCGAGACTCAAATGACCTCTTCCAGGCTTCCAGAGTCTTCCGAAGATGCAACAACCGGATTGTTGCTCGGGACCCAGGCCTGAACGGAGTGCTCGGGCGACAAAACCTCGGCAGTCCAGCTGGGCTATTGTAGGTAACCCCATGCCGCAGATCGGGCACATCGGCGGTCCGTCTCCCGTCTTCACAGACCAATTCACCGAGACTCCGTTCAGTGCTGAGGAAGTTTCCGTTTCCTTCGCCCGCTTGTGACCTGCCAGCTCTAGCCAGCTCGGGGCCATCTCTATGGACGAAACCCCGGGCCTTGAGATCGGAAAACACCGCAACGCATCTCCCAGCTGACCCGGAATGTTCGGCGAGTCTGGCACCGGGCTTGCCGCTTGTTGATGCACCTTACAG